CAAAATTATTGTAAATAAAAATTTAATCGAAAATATTTGTTTTAAATGCATTCTGCGAGTTACTAAATTTGTCCGCTAACTACGAGAACAGCTTATCAACTAAAATGTGCTTAATCAGCGAATCAATCATAAAATTCATATACACACAAAATCAATGCAATATAATAGGCTTTCAGGTTCTGTGACGCAAGTGCAATCTTCCATTATCTCGCTCTCTCTCTCTCTCTCGTGTTTTAAATGGTATCGGGTAAGACTGAGAAACTATAATATTTGGTTAGAAAGGAGAGTACAAAATATATTGACTTCTTATATGAAATCTTAAAAAACTTGCCCTGCAGTCTTCTACTCGCATCCCATAAATTGGAAATGTCTATTATAAATACGAGACATTTCCAAATAGTAGACAACAGCAAATGATGTGATGTATGGTACTTTATCATGATGTACGCACAAGCGCAGAAGCAAACGGGGATTGGAACCTATTTGGTAAAAAAAACTTTACATTGAAAAGCTGTGAATAAACTTTAAATATATATTATTACCCAGGTCCTGCTGGTGGCCACATATTCAACGCGAATGAATATTCAAAAATGTGTTTCACTCACAATAAAACGAGATAATTAAATGGAAGTAAAAAAATCTACATTCGCGTTAAAAATGTTTGCCAATAATGAAAAACAATTTTGAAAATAACGGGTTTTAGTATGTTTTCTACAACTTGGAACTGAATAGAAATGAATTTCCTATAATTCAAAGAAGACCAACGATTTGTTCCCAATTATGCTAAAGAAAAAAAGACAAGGTTTTTAAAGCTTAATCATTCTTCCACCAAGATAACACGATCTAAATTTGGATCACATAGATTGATCGCCTAATCCAATAATAGGATTTTCTTAAAAAGTATGTAACGGTATTTATATACGATTATACTATAGTTTTTTCGATTAATATTAAATATTTGGTACTTTATAACAAAACATAGCTGAAGCACTGTGTTAGGCAACTGTGATGCAGAATATTCGCTGGTCGATCCCTATTTGATTAGAAACTTTTAATTGGCTTTAACCGCCAAAGGTACTTTTAAGAGACTATCAATGTTTTCACTTTGTCCCCAAAAATACATCACAAACTAATCGGCTCCGAACACCAGGCATGTTATCCTATGTCCATAGGATTGCATTAAAAATTTTCGTTATATTGTTTTCGATTAATGGAAACCTTTAAGTAGGATTTCGGATTTTCATTGAGAACGCTTTTCAACTTCTATTTTTTGGCCACTGCACGGCATGTTGCACTATAGTCTTTAAAGCAGACGTCAAAGACTTGCGATTCTTTACATCTATTTTTAAAAAACTCATTTAATTCACTTACTTTTACTGTCTTATTGCACATACAAAGTTAAGGCACCGTCACTATTCTGGCAGACAAGTGAATGAGGCGAGTTTTCCCCTCATAAGTTTCTATGGCTTATCGGCGAAGACGACCAGTTCTCCGTTAATTGAAAACTCACATCGAATTTCTTTCCAAAATTGTTACTCAAGTGCAGCACATTCGGCACAAACAAGTTGACGGGACATCTTGGAAGCGAGTGTCCCCTCTGTAAAGAGGTACAACTGTTGAAGACTTTGATTCGTCGAAGTGATAACTAGGTTTGGGGAGCATGACAGGTCATTGTCTTACCGATAAATCGTCCTCTTTTAATGGGAAATGTAAAGAGCGACTACAGCCTCACCCCACCGATCTTGTTATCATGTACGGCATGCACTCTTCATAACAATTCCCTTAGACTTTTGGCGAATCATTTCAACGGAAAATGAGTGAATCACTTTTACAAGTCCTTTTATTAAACTTCATTTATTTATATGAGTGCGACTCACTAACAGGTTTACAATATTTTTCTAATAAGTTAGACTTTTCTTGAAATATAATTAGTTTACAATGTTAAAAATTATCGGGCCAAATGATTTTTTCGATCCAAGAAGTATATTCGGAGACTCTTGTGTAGATTCCAGGCATTCCTGATGCACAGCCAACACCAAATGATGTGACACCAACAATAAATGGTATTCTATTGATTAATACGAGAAGGGGTCCACCAGAATCACCCTGTAAATGAATACAAGTTAATCTCACGTTACTTAATACCTATGTCTACAGTACTTGGCAAGTGTCTCTTAGATTCTCTGGATCTATGGCACAGATAAAATCTTTTGATATACCGTTCCTAAGATTACGAGATAGCTCGTCAGGTGGATAATCTTGTTCACATTGGCTTTGCGTATAAACCTTCAGAGTGGCTTTTAACAAATCTTCAGACGCAATACCGGCTAAAAAGATGAAATATCATTACTTATGGTTCTCGTTTTACTATTCATTTCAACTAACCGAAAGAGGTGTGTCCATAGCCTAAAACAATTGCATTATCGGTATCACCTATGCGATCAGGTGTCCAAAGACATGCTGCTCCTTCAAATTTAGAAGTTGGGCTAGAAATACAACAGCCATTGCTTTCTCAGTTAGTTTCTTTTTATTTTTCTATTCATACAAATACACTTACATTCTATACTCGGCCAGTTTGACTAATGCTATGTCATTATAGGATGATGGATATTCGTAATCATGATGTTCGATACACTCGGCGATTTCAATATTTTGTACATTAGGATCAGCAAGGCTTATACCACCCGCTCGCACAACAGAAGGCAAACCGCTAGATTGTTAAAATAGCAACGAAATTAATTCGAATTGTGTGCAGTGACTGTGCATAGGGCTGCTTCCCTACTCACTCGTTATCGTAAAAGCAATGAGCAGCCGTAAGGACGTATCTGGCTGAGATAAGACTCGCGCCGCATTTGTACCGGATTGTTTCGTTGTCCTTTTTGGCCTTCCATCCTAAAGCGTACTTTACCGAGAATGTTAGAATCATTTATTAGGCCAGCTTTATATTGATCTATATGCGAATTTTTATACCCCATTAGAGACGGATAGGTGTATACAATTTTTTGTGATTTAAAATATATAAGAATACGCATCAGAGATGCAAAACTATATGTTCGGAAAGCATATATATATACATATACATATTAAATATTTATTTAAAATATATTTATATGTATATATACATATAATATATACATACATATATAAATTATGACCGAGTATAATATTCTTACTTATTCTCTTATATGAACTCTTGTTTTGAAAGAAACCATGACGCTTGCTCTCATTTGTGAATATATGCTTACCGTCATGAACCATGTATAAAAGATTCGGTCATGACCGAATATAATTTTCTTGCTTGTTTTCATTATTATTTGCATAAATTTATCAGTTTATATAAATGTTCAGTCTTTTTGACGAAAACTAAGATCAATTCTTTTACATTGCACTTACCATAAATGGAAATTCTCTCACTAAGACTTTTTTGCCATGAGTTATCGATTTCCTAGAAGTATAATATCGATCACACACTGCGTTAAATTGTGAGTAAATGAAATAATTATATTAATAAGCGTTAGCATTTTACATACTTTCCTTGGCTAAGGTTTTATTAGTTGTCGCAGGTTCCTCTTTCACAACGCGTACTAATAAATTCGACATTAAACAGCAAATCTGAAGAATTCCATTCGCATCTCTATCGCATTGATCATCGTAGAAATGAATAATATTTTTTTTGGGTTTACAAAAGGTATGAGGAACACATATACTGGGTTCGCCGCTGGTATTACAATCGTGTAGAGTTTCATTATTTTTATCCGCATTAGACGATTCAATTAAGCCTTAAATTATTTATTGTATTATATTGTGTTTTCTATATTTATTTATTTATTTATTTTAATTAAATTTAAATACCTTTGACCAAAATAATATGAAATACGAACTTAATTGAAAATATTTGTTTTAAATGCATTGCGTAATTTATTAAGTGTATGCACTAAACGCGAGAAGAGTTTTTCAACTAAAATACAATTAATCAGCGAACGGATGTAAATAGATTAGGATTCAATTTCCTATAATTATATATGTATATAAACAAAATCAAAAAGTTTTACAAATGCTTTGTATTAGGGAAATGGGTTGTTCCTCATGAAATCTTTTGCTAATAAATGGGAATTTTGCAGATACTCTCTCCCGCGTGAATTTATTTATGTAAATGCATGTTTTCTACGAAACTTTTATTCTAATGAGGAGACGTGGTAAGGGCGGGGGAGGGGGGGAGGGGGGCGCCTTATAATATTTCGTTGGAGAGCTTTCTCCTCTTAGTAATCATACCAAACAATCTTCTCATGCCTATACATTCTCGAATATATACAAGATATTTCCGATAAGCAAACTAGTGCTACTAAGTGATGCGATGTAAGGTCCGTCATCATAGGAGTCATCTTTTTTATCACGATTTTGCAACAGTCACCATAAAAAGAATCATTGCCCTGATCTATTGCAGAGATTAAACTTTCTACAACATCATCACGATGGCTAAGAGATATCATTGACCGGATGGATAACCTTATATGGGTTAGGACAATTTTTAAGAGTAACTAGTTCCACCGCAGAACCAGCGTAAATAAACAATCAGTTATAAGTAGATATTCTATCCAGTGTTCTTTAGTATCGCCGGACATACGGGTCTACCTCGACTGCCTTATCGAATAAAATCCAGAAAATCATACAATTCTATATAAACACCTGCTCGACCACCACTGACCCAACTTAATAAAAATTAGTTCGACATCGGCCACTTTCGCGTTCTTTGTGTGATAAGTGAGTATAATGAGCGATTGTCTCTTCTACTTATTAAACCTAAGTCTAAATTATTTTCTGAATTGTGGCGTTTGTGTTACGGTTAAAATAAATTGAGTGGTTTACACTCCTAGTAAACCCAGCAGTTGGTTTAAATCTTGCTTTCACCTGGGTCTAGAGTGTCGATATCGAGCGTAGTACTTAGGAGTGTTCATCATTCCAGTTAACATTGATTAAATTTACAAGTCGTTTGAAGTAAGCGTAGTGTAAGGTAGCAATGATTGTAACCTAAACGAGTGACAAATTTATATTCGGTCCTAACCGGATCTCTTATTCCTGTCACCGTCATAATAGAAATGTTTAAAAAAAAATTCAATTCTTATACTCTATAATATTGGGTGGGTACGGCTGCTAAAAGTGGAAATTTATATCGCGTTTTAATTAAAAGTTATATATAACGAGCAAAACACTCGGAAAGAAAAAAGATGTTGTCAGTTTTTGTCGTACAGGCGTGTGGGTGTTGTAAGGGAGTCCTTGTATGATTGAAATCATTTTTAAATTTTTTTTGCAAATTTGTAGGCAAACGGGAGAATGTTTACCACAGAATTAGGCAGACGAACAAAAGGACAAACGAGCATAGGAACATGCTTAGGTGGATTATGAACTTGAAACTGGGCAAAAATATAAATAGTTTATGGCGTCTTTGAAACTAGCTTCTATATATTTTAGAAATATTTGGAAAAAAAAATCTAATATAATTTGATTATACAGGCGTGGTCAATTTTTTTTTGATTTTTGCACAAGTAGTACAGCATCGCCTATAAAGTATACATTTAAATTTTGTAGTATACATTTACCTATTGTAGTGTGTTTATGAGTAATGAGCAAAAAAAAAAATTTTTTTTTCCTGCTTTGGAAAAACACCGGGGATTTCCCAGTTTAGGTGGTACCGTACTTTAATCCATTTTCAATATTAACCACTAGGCAGGAATTTCCAATGTTTTTGCGAAATCTCAAGTCAAGAGTAAAATAATTTTTATGACCGGGAGAATGTTTACACTAGACATTGCACAGGCGGACAGGTGGACATGCTTAAATCGATTCAGAATTTCGAGTGACATTTGTGAATTTTTCTCTCGCACAAAAAATCACAGCATAATGATACTTGGGTATTCTTAATGGATGGAAAGAATTTTCATCGGATGGGCCAAAGTTTTGAACGTCTTCGAACAGTAAGCCTTCGTTTGACAAAGCGGTCTAAGTTTTAATAGAAAATTGGTCCATAATAACAATTTAACATACAACTTATTTGTGTCAAATTGAGACAACGTAAGTCTAGTTTTTGGATCCCACACCCTATAAGAGTTCTCAAGACCCTTTCTACGGCAAACATGTAGAATTTTTAATATTTTACGATGGGTAATCTGACATAGAAGGCAGCTTTGGTCCATGTAAGCCTATTAGATCGATAAGGAATTATGCGGGGACAAAATCCAATTTTTACTACTTGACTATCTTTAGTTCGCGTTTTGGGCACGTTCACTGGGAAATGCTGGACCATGGTATGATTTTCAATGAAGTCTTGTATTAGGTAATATGATGTTTTCCATTTGTTCGGTTTTGTGTTAGGTTTTTTTTTTTGTGGCGAAGACTTGTGGATTCGCTGCTATGGTTGCAGTGGCTGCTGTATCTAATAGTAGCCAATAACCGCCACACCAGACAACATTTCTGCACATTTCCACTAAAGCCAATCTTACAATTATCTTCGAAGGAATAAATAGTGCCCTAAACGATTTTACATAATGCGTGAAGTAGATGCAACTGTCACCTGTGAACACAATCGATTTGTTTAATTAAATTAAAAGTTAAATAACCAGTGAAATGAATAGCAGTGATGAACATTTAAAGTTTATTAAATATATTTCAAGCTTTGAGTAGAGTAAAGGCGATAAGAGATATGCCGCGATTTACTCATCGATTTAATTGCTCAATGCTTTTTAATCCACGACGTGATTATGCGATAATAAATTAAAATTTTTGTTTACTAATCATAGTTCAATTCCCTTAAAGTGCAATTAGACGAGACTTTGTACCAAATGTAACGACAAACGCTACCGTTACAGAAAATTTCTGATCATAGATGATATTAAAGCAACTAAAACTGTCCATTGGGCTACCGTTAATGACACAATGGCACTTAGTTTTTCCCCAACAAAGTAACAAAGACAAAGGACATAGATTGTAATTGACGCATTTAAACGTTGACATGCGCCTTTGTAAGGAGAGCAATGAGCGGGCGCTGAATCTCGCATCCCCTTCACCATGTTTTTCGCATTCTACTCTCCAAGTTCTTTTATTTGATACCCGTATCGCTAGTATTACTAAAAACAAATTAACCGCGATGTCCACCATAATCATTTTAGAATTTACCCATTTTAACAAAAAAATCAAATTTTGATGTACTACAATATTGGATAGTCGGTCCTGCTTTGTGCGAGTTTTGTGCAGGGACTATAGCATCGCCTGTAGAAGATACGTTTTACTTTTTAAAGATTTATTTGCAGCACGACATATTCTTATTTTACGTGATGCTGTAGACATGTCATTCCACCGATTTGGCCCATTTTTTATGCCAAACTGCTTGCAAGAATATTCAATGTTTCTTCTCATTTGAAAGCTGATAGGTTCACTTATGCGGCCAAGAGAACGTTTGCAACAGACCTTGTATAGAGGGGCGGACGAACAGGCGGACAGGTTTGGTTCGATTCAGAATTGGTGCTGACCAAAAATATGTATACTTTATGGAATCTTTTAAGCTTCCTTTTATGGAATCATCATTTTATGCACATAAATTTTAATTCTTTTTGAAATATTTTATTTAATAATTTTACTTGTGGAAAATAAAATGAACTCGAGTTCCATGATTTGCTTAGTTACAAAAACAGCTCTATAGATATAGCAAAAGAAATTAGATAAATTTTCAATAGCTTAACCTAATCTTCTCATTCCAGCTATAATCTTCATAACAAATCTGACATTCCATAAGTTTAAAGCAGTGAAACTATCCGTTTATTGCTTTATGCCCATCTCTCATCCGGCCAGATAATCTCCTCTATCCAGGAAATGTATTCGGAGACTCTGGTGTATATACCAGGCATTCCTGATGCACAGCCAACGCCAAACGAAGTAACACCAACAATATATGGTTTTTCAAGGATTACCTTAACTAGGGGTCCACCAGAATCACCCTGTCAATGAAAACAAGTTAACCTCACGTTAATTAATACTTATGTCTATAGTACTTGGCAAGTGTCTCTTAGATTCTCTGGATCTATGGCACAGATAAAATCTTTTGATATACCGTTCTTAAGATTACGAGATAACTTGTCAGGTGGATAATCTTGTTCACATTGACGTTGTGGATAAACCTTCAGAGTGGCCTTTAACAAATCCTCAGACGCAATTCCAGCTACAAAGATCAAATATCATTAATTATGGTTCTCTATTTACTGTTCGTTTCAACTAACCGAAAGAGGTTTGTCCATAACCTAAAACAATTACGTATTCGTCATCGTATAATTCATGATAAGGTGTCCAAAGACATGCTGCCGGTTCTAACATAGCGCTCGGGCTAGAAATAACACACCCGTTACTTTTCCAGTTTTCAATGTTATCCTATTCGTACCAATGCACTTACTCTCTATAATAAGCCATTTTGACTAACGCTATGTCGTTATAGGATGATGGATATTCATAATCAGGATGTTCGATACACTCAGCGATTTCAATATTTTGTACATGAGGATCGGCAAGGCTTATACCACCCGCTCGCACAACAGAAGGTAAACCGCTAGGTTGTTAAAATAGCAACGGAATTAATTCGAATTACGTACAGTGACTGTGCATAGGGCTGCTTCCCTACTCACTCGTTATCGTAAAAGCAATGAGCAGCCGTAAGGACATATCTGGCTGCGATAAAACTGGCGCCGCATTTATATACGATTGTCGCGTTGTCGTTTTTGGATTTCCATCCTAAAGCGACCTGTACCGAAAATGTTAAAACCATACATTAAGGTGATCGTTTATTTATTTATTTATTCCACTTATACTAGAAACTGAACTAAAACAAAATGGCAGTCGAGTTCAATTGACTCTTAAGTAAATCTTAAAATTAATTTATAATAAAACTTAGTATAAGTACAATAAAACAAATAAGGAGGAAAAAAGAAAAAAAAAAGAAGCATGTACACAATTAGCATAGAACCACACCCACAACCGATACAGGACCAAATTGCAAGTGAACCCCTAAGCCATCGCAAACATGCATAAGCTTGGCAATTGGTTAATTGTTAACAACAAATTAATTTTCGACTCATAATGACATATTTAAGGTTAAGTCAGTTTAAGTACGACATAGGTATATCGCGCTTATTAAGCAATGTTGCTTTAATGGACTTTAAAGAGTCCGTTAATGAGAATAAATGATAGACATCATTTAGGTTCTTGCAAACAACTCTGAGCGGGTTAAAGAGTTCAAAATTATATTTGCATTGACTAAGCTTTAACAACATAAAGTGCCTAGAGAAACGGTTAGGGACATTAAAGCCTATCTCACGAAGTAATGCGGGCGAGTCAATTGCACCATTTATTAATTTGATTAAGAAGGAAACCCCAAGAACAAATCTACGTTTCTCGAGTGACGGTAAGGATAACAGAAGCAACCTATTTTCATAGGGTGGAAGAGGGGAAATCGGGTCCCAACCCAAATTCCTAAGGGCAAACAGCAAGAATTGCTTTTGTATAGATTCAATTGAATCTACGTATCACCTATACGAAGGAGACCACACAACAGAGGCATACTCAAGTATAGGTCTAACGAAACACGTGTAAACCCTTTTCGTAATGTACGGATCATCAAGCTCTTTGGACCACCTCTTTATAAAACCAAGCGCGGACCTAGCTTTGCTTAACGAGGACTCAATATGCAAATTGAAACGTAACCTATAATCGAATAGAACGCCTAAATCTATGAACGAATCGACGTCTTCCAACCTATGCGAATCAATGAAGTATTGAGTACTGAACGACTTCCTTCTCAAGAAAGAAAGCTTCTTACATTTATTTAGATTTAGTTTCAGAAGATTGAGAGAGCACCATGCAACCAATTTATTCAAATCACTTTGAAGATGATGTGATTGCGATTCTACGGAAAAAGAAGTGAACAGTTTCACATCATCAGCATACATTAAAATCTCACTGAATTTAATCACGGAGGGCAAATCATTGATGTATAGATTAAATAAAATAGGTCCCAAGTGGCTACCTTGAGGTACGCCAGACGTCACGGGAAATTCATCCGAGGTAATGAGATTAAACAAAACCCTGAATGATCTACCATGCAGATAAGAGCTTAATCATTCCACTAAGAAAAGAGGAAAGCCAGAGGTCTGGAGTTTAAATCTAAGTAGTCCGTGATTAAGCATATCAAACGCTTTGCTAAAGTCGGTGTAAATGACATCAATGCGAGAACCTCTAGAAAAAGCCTTGAAAACATGAGAAGTAAACTCTAACAGATTGGTCACCGTAGATCTTCCCTTTCGAAAACCATGCTGGAAAGGAGAAATATACAATTTCATGGAAAAGGCTATATGCTGAGCCACAATTCGCTCGAACAGTTTAGGTAAGACACTCAACTTGGCAATGCCTCTGTAGTTCTCTACAAGTTGCCTACTAACACTTTTGTGAATAGGAATAAGGAAAGAAGTCTTCCAACACAAAGGGAAAACACCTAAATTCAAAGACTTATTAAAAATCTGTGAGATAACATCACAAAGCTCGCCAGCACAAGATATAAGTACACATGAGGGGATCCCATCAGGTCCAGGCGAACAATTATATTTCAGAGAGCTCAATCCTTCAAAAACGTCATTTTCCGATATAACAAAGTTAAGAATTGAAATCGGATTAGAAATCGGATATGGATAGTTTTCCGAAAAAATCAAAATTGGCAGTTGAAAAGTTCTGTCGGAAGTATTCCGCAAAGAGATTTGAGGATTCAAAATCATCCGAGGACTCGGAGCCATTAAAAGACACAAACGACGGATTTATGGAGATTTTTCTTTTGGAATTAACGAACTTAAAAAAGTATTTAGGGTTAGCAAACAAAGAGGATTTAACAAACTGAAGGTATCTGCAGTAGTATCGGCGGTTGAGGGAATTAAATTTATGCCTTGCAACAGAGTAAGCAAAATAGTCGAAAGGAGAACCACTTTTCGAAAATTTTTTAAAAAGTTTGTTTTTCCTATTCTTGTAGTATTTAATTGTATTATTAAACCACGGGGGACCCTTGCTTCGAGGACGGGACTGCTTGATCGAAACGGATGCAGAAATAGCTTGATTTAATATATTGTAGAACGACGACAGCAAGCTATCAATGCTTCCCTCTGAGAAATCGAGCACAATATGAGAAAGATGTGATTTTAGTATGGAAACATTGATTTTATGGAAATCATATCATTGATATGAAAAATTTGAATTTTGAACATTATAGAAGTTCAACGAACCAACATACTTGTAATGAAAGGAAACACCCAATGCTGGATGATATGGATCCTCAGGTAAACTAAACGGAAGACAACGATTAACGCAAACCTCAGGAAAATTTGCAAAGCAGAGATCAAAAAATCTCCCATTACAATTAGGGGTACCATTGTATTGAACTAAATTATTATCAAATAATTCACTGAAGAACACAACGGCTTTATCAGATGTTGAGGAAGGAATCAAACAGCCAGAACTATCACTGTAAAACCAATTGAATTGAGGCAAATTGAAGTCTCCCAACGCAACGACTATATCGGTAGGTTTAGATTGAAAATGAGGCTGAAGAAATATTTAGTTTTTTGAAGGGGAAAGAGCTACTGCATTCGTATTACGGGGTCGGTCCCGAGGGATAAATTCTTTAATTAAGGATCCAACCGGCCACAATGGTTTATTTAAAATCATATCCATATATTCGGTCAGAACTAGAATTTTAAAAGATGAGATAGCTCTAGATTGAGAAGGACCCAGTTTGAAACCTCTTCGTGCCCATTAGAAAAGGGTGGTATCATAAAGCATTTATTCAATTTAAAATACACAAGATTGCACGGCAACTAGATTGGATAGGTATGTATCTTAGATATATACACGCATACATTCATATCTTCGAACTAAACCGTTTTAACGACGTTCGTCGGTTTCTCTCTACACGCGTTGTTGACTCATTTTTGGTCACCAAAATTTAAATTAGTAATTGAAAATTAATCAATATTAACGAGTGAAACTTCTTCTGAGGTGAATGCACAACAACTAGCAGTGCTTAGAAGTTATCTACAACTTGCGACTGTCAAGTGAATGTTCGCGAGTTCAAATCTCAGCGCGATAGGGGATACTTCGGTAGGCAACAGCATAACAGTTAGGGGTTAGGCTATTTCCTTCTTTCTCTTTCCGAATAGGAGCCGTCCCCTGAGCGATTGGTCTAATCAAAAAAAAAAAAAAAAAAAAAACAATCTGTAAGGAATCTAAATATCACCGAAGGTTTAATCTGTGAAACTATCGATTAGCGCCGTTGTTGTAATTGCAACATTACCCAAGGATAATAGTTAGTATCGTTTGAGGAAAACATTTTCAAATTTCAATAATTGTGTGAAGACAAATTGCGCGATTAATGTGGTATAGGCGACGTTCAACTATTGCCGAAGCAGTCCGGTTCGTTTACAAACACCTCCATCCGCAAATCAAACAACTACGACTTTCAACCCAAAGGTCTAATTAAGTCTCGTAACCCAGGCCATCGAGGCAATAGTGAGAGAAATGGTTACCTGGAAATATGTATCCTTCTCAATATGGTTTGCCATGATATACATTTCGTCTTCATCGGTAGAGTTTTGGATGCATTCTTCTTCAAACTATGCTAAAAGGTGCAAAAAGGCCTATCTCTTAAAAATGACGCGTAATCAACAAAGTCCGCTCATGTCAACGCTACCCACTGCATATTTTTCGGCTTACTCTTCTGTATACGATTGATGGGAAAATGTGCGTGGTATGGAAAGGCGCGAATTTAACATTTATTATAAAAAGATGTATTTCACAATAATTCGTGATAACACAGTTAATGGGCTAGAATTGACCGAGGGGGGATTTTGATAAAAAAAAATCGGATAACTTCTAGGGAAGTGTAGACTGTTTTAGTGTTAATGGGTGCTTACGAAAAATCAAAAACACTAAAATATTCCAAAATGTTCCCATCTGACCTAACCTTGACTGTGGCAAGCGAAAGTGGATCATTTCTATGAAAATGTCCTATAATAAGGTATCAACTCCGAATTGAATTATTAGAGGAACAAAACGGGAGCAAAGTCTGCTGCAAGTGTCAATTCAAGAAAATATCTTTAAGGTCGCATGGACCTAAAGCTTTCCTGCTTTATGTTTGCAAAAATTTACTTAGTCCTTGTTGGGATAACCGAAATGAATTCTTATTTATTTCTACTAACCATAAATGGAAATTCTCTTTTTGAGACGACTTGTTCGCCATGAGTTATACCGTGTATAGGAAGATAATAGTCATCGCACTCTGTATTAAATTGTAAATAATTGAAGCAATTAATAATCAAATCATTGAACATACACATTCTTACATACTTTCCTTGGCCAAATTTTTGTAAGGTCGATTTACAGTAACCATAGGTTGCTTGTCCACGTCAGGTACTAATATATTTGATTTTAAACAGCAAATCCGAGGAATTTCCTTAGGATCCGTATCGCATTGATCATCGTAGAAATGAATAATATTTTTATTGGATTTACAACGGGTACGGGGAACGCATAGACTGGGTTCGCCGCTGATATTACAAACGTGTCTAGTTTCATTGTTTTTATCCGCATTAGATGACTCGATTAAGCCTTAAATTATTTATTGAATTATTTCTCTATTTCTATCTACGTTTATACCCATCACCGGCGGATGAAGAGATATTCATTTTGTCAAAACGTTTGCAACGCCCAGAAGGCAGCATCAAAGACCCCGCAAAGTATATATATTCTTGATCAGTATAAAATTTTATATCGATTTAAGCATGTCCGTCTGTCCGCCTATCCGCCTATGTAATGTCTGTTGCAAACATTTCCCTGGCCGCAAAAATAAAGCTATCGACTTCAAATTTGGCAGAAGTAGTTCTTGCCTCAAGAGTGGTACTGAAAATGGACCAAATCACTCGAAGAACATGCTCAGAGCGCCACATATGAAAGATTGCTTTTCTGCTCATTTCAACGCATATTATTTGGGCGATGCTGTAGTATTTGTACATAAAATTAAAAAAAAAAGACCACGCCTATCCAATATTATGATGTGTCAAAATTTAATTATTTTTTCAAATACCTTCGCAACGCGCAGAAACAAGCTTCAACAATCCCATAATGTATACAAGTTCTTGGTCAATTTCAAATCTAATCTGTCCATCTGTCTGTTCGCGCAACTTTTCAGTATTTGTGGTAAACATTATCCCGTTTTGGGGAAAATTAAGTATCGCCTACAAGTTTGCAAAACAATTTTGAATTGACCTAAACTTTTCAAATGACACGCCTACAACGCCCACATGCGTATACAACAAAAACTTTTTTATTGAAATTCTTTCGCTGAAATATTACTCTTTTGAGAATAAAAGAAGTCAGCTGCACCCACTCCATATTATAAAGCATGAACAGTTTGTTCGTTTCTTTTTTTTTTGCTTTTTTTATGATAACGGCGATGGGTATAAAAGGTTCGGCCCCGACTGAATTTAATTTTCGTACTTGTTATTCTTAGTTAAATTCAAATACCTTTGACCAAAATTATATTCAATAATATTTTAATTGAAAATATTTCTTTTAAATGCATTGCGCAATTTCTTAAGTTTGTCCACTACACGCGAGAATAGTTTTTCAACTAAAATTTAATTAATCAGCGAAGGCAAATAATTAGATTAGCACTAAAAATTTATATAATTATTTGTTTATAAATAAAATCAAAGCTTTATAAACGCGATTTAATGGAGCAATTACTTGCTTCCCTTAAAAATTTGTGCTGATAAACCTAGACTTTCTGGTACAGAGTCACGTAAAAAGATTCTCAAAAGAGACTCTCTCCCACACTCCCACGAATTAAAGAAATCTTGTCGTCCATTTAGATTCATTATAGAGATTGATCTTTCTAATAAATCATTATGAAAACTACAAGATAACTGATCGGATTGATAATATTGTGCGCATTCGTTTTGAGAATAAATTTTATTAGCACGTTTTAATACATTTATCGCCACAGCGAACGAACGCCAATAAGTAGATTTTTCACTTCGTTTAATATAAATTAACAGCATGTAAGAACATTGCAGTCGGGCAAGATCGGCCATTAAAATACTACCACTTAACCACTTTTGCCGAGAAATTTTGAAAATTGCAATTTTTTTTTCATATAACGACTTTCAGAATAGAGCGTTATATGCGGCGCGGCCGAAAATGTGGACCGTTTCCATACCACCTTCGACAGCGTTTGTCCTGGAAGCAAATCACGACACTGTAAGAAATTTCATCGAATTATCTTAAAAATTGCGAGCTGCACGTTGAACACGAAAATATAAGACAGACAAACAGACGGACGGACGGACAGGTTCAGATCAATTCGGTTTATGATTCTGAATCGATCGATATAATAAAAGGCGGGTTTACCTTAAGCTATTTCACACGACGGCACCAAGTTAATATACCCTGCACTACAAGTCATGTAGGGTACAATGAATGAATGATTAATAATCAACTAAATGAACGAGACTTGTCGTTAACGTAATGCAATTACATTACTTTTGCCATTCGTATATGTGAATGGTTATACGCACACACACATAACAGCGATTCAACTACATTGTAGGGCAAAATGCAGAAAATCACAGAATTTCGTATCAATATTTGCTGAAACGCTACGCCAGCTTAGTTTATGCATCATCATTAGGAGCTAACGGATGCTCATAACCTACACTTGGCACCTTAGCAACAGTGAGTCTAAACCTATCTAAAATTTCTACTGAAGGCAAACCTCCCGCTATAAATTAACAAGTACGTTTCCTTCTCTTTTTACACGGTAGACCCGTTCAAAAAATTCACAATAAAATATTCGTGCAAAAAAATTCGTGTAAAAAAGATATTCTTTTTTTCAACTTCCTATTTTATTGTTTTTTCTTATTTTTGCTTAGTAAATTGCCGTCAGGTCACAATTCCGTTTATTCCAAGATTTTCATTTTAGATTATATACGGAAAAGCTAAAAGTCTCCTTTTTTAAATACTTCTTTTTCTTTTTTTGAGTTAGTCATAAAAGCTGATTTTTTCAACATTTGTACAAGTTCCATAACATCGCCAATTTTTCTCTTGGAAAACAAACGTGTTTTCAGTACACGTAGTATATTAGGCGAGTTATTCCACCGATTTGACATCGAAAGCCGATAGATACTTATTTGAAGGCAGCAGAATACCTACCACAGGCATTGCACAGATTCTCTGAAACTTCCTTCCGGGAGTTGCAAACCTTTTGACGAACTAAATATACCAGCCATGGTTCGGTGATCGGCGTAAGAAATGAATTTAAATAACGCACTTATAAAAATTAATTCATGATAATTTTATATACAACAACCGTAAGTCGCATTGAAATACTCCCTATACGACTATGAGATCATGCAAAGAAGTGAGTTAGCACTACATAATTCCTTGCAGGAATGAAGTGAAACATGGTGAACCTAAGTAATTTATTTTTTAGTCATTTTTCATCAAATAATCTTATCTGTTATTAAAAGGAGTATTCGTGTATACTCTCTGCTACACTTTTTCAAAAAATGGGTTGAAAAAGCGAAGAGAATGATGGAATGGCGAAAATCAATTTTATAAGATCGTAATCATCATAAGTTGCTTACTCCTAAAAATGGTCTCGTAGGATTTTAAAAAGAAAATTGCTAAAGCCTTTGGTGCTAGCAATAGTTTGCCGAAACCATTTATTTGTAATCATAGTCTTCATAAGAACATTCCACACATATTCCAATACATTCCACAAGCTTACAGCAGCGAAATTGTCTACTGCTTTAAGCCAATCACAACACTCTAGTAAACATCCGGCCAGATAATCTTCTCCATCCAGGGTATGTACTCGGAGACCCTGGTGTAAATACCAGGCATTCCTGATGCACAGCCAACGCCAAACGAAGTAACACCAACAATATATGGTCTTCCAAGCATTACCTTAACTAGGGGTCCACCAGAATCACCCTGTAAATGAAAACAAGTTAACCTCACGTTAATTAATATTTACGTCTATAATACTTGGCAAGTGTCTCTTAGATTCTCTGGATCTGTGGCACAGATGAAATTTTTTGTTATACCTTTCCTAAGGTTACGAGACAGCTTGTCAGGTGGATAATCTTGTTCACATTGACTTTGTGGATAAACCTTCAGAATGGCCTTTAACAAATCTTCGGACGCAATTCCAGCTAAAAAGATCAAATGTCATTGTGTTTCTTATTTTATCATTCATTTGAACTAACCGAAAGAGGTTTGTCCATAGCCTAAGACAATTACATTAGCATGATCATCTTCACGATCAGGTGTCGAAAGACATGCTGGAGGTTTATACATAAGGCTCGGCCTAGAAAAACAACAGCCGTCGGTTACTCAAACTTCAATTTTATCCTATTCGTACCAATACACTTACTCATCCAGTTTGACTAATGCTATGTCATTATAGGATGATGGATATTCATAATCAGGATGTTCGATATACTCAGCGATTTTAATATTTCGTACATGAGGATCGGCAAGGCTTATGCCACCCGCTCGCACAACAGAAGGTAAACCGCTAGATTGTTAAAATAGCAACGGAATTAATTCGATTTGCGTACAGTGACTGTGCATAGGGCTGCTTCCCTACTCACTCGTTATCGTAAAAGCAATGAGCAGCCGTAAGGACATATCTGCCTGAGATAAGACTCGCGCCGCATTTGTATACGATTGTCTCGTTGTCGTTTTTGGCTTTCCATCCTAAAGCGAACTGTATCGAAATTGTTACAATCATTCGTATGTTAATCCTATTTTATTTCGATTAGGAGCAAATAATAGGAAGTAACCTTTGTTTTAATTGCAGAATTCGATAAGAACGCTAGACCATATATACAATATATATACGCATGTAGACCTTAATTGTTTTAAGGATGTCTGACCGTTTCTCTATGTAGGCGTTAAGGTTTATATGATGTCGCAAAAATTTAAGTTGGTGAAGGAAAGTTGGAAAACGATTCATTAGCCCCTACAATTCTATGGTACTGGACATGGCAAATTTCGTCCGAAGCGAAAAAACTTACGTGCATTTCTGACTAGCGGACCTCCACTCTGCAGTTTGACTTTAATAACTGTATGAAAACAAACTATCATTCTCTTGCACGCCACAGCCAACAGACTTCACAGTAACGATATGAAGGGACATGAATTGGAAGCTTGACCTACAAAATGGTAGGTAAGACTCGCGTCTACCGACTGAGTTTCAAATCTCATTGCGGTAAAGTACACCTCGGTCCGTCTCTCAATCCATCGGTCTAATTAAATATATTAATCCTGCTTAATATCCAGGTCGCCGAGACAAAAATGTGAAAAGGATTACTTGGAAATATATGTCCCCCTCAATATGTTACAGGGTAGAAGGCGTTTAATTGTTAATTGTTGAATTTTACATGTCTTCTTGCTTAAAATATGCTAAAAGCTGTATATCTTTTATTGGGGTACAAAATCCAAATTTTTTAGGGAAAAAAGTCTTCACATTTAAGATTGTATGTACCTAAGACTTGACCGAAGCCGCCACTGACTTTGTTCCTTTATTTCTTCTTTCGTAGCCTTGGTTTTAATAAACGGACAGATGGACAAGCTTTTTGTATGCACTGTTTATGAATGTATATATATATCTTTTGCATGTAAAAATTTACCTATTCCTTAATCGGGTTAATCGAAATGAATTCGTATTTATTTCTACTAACCATAAATGGAAATTCTTTCTTTAAGACTTTCTCGCCATAAGTTACCGCTCCTATAGCTCGATAATATTCATCGCACTCTGTATAAAATTGTAAATAATTGTAGCAATTTACTAATGACACCACTGAACACACGCATTCTTACATACTTTCGTGGGCCATACTCTTTTTAGTTAGATCAACAGTAATCATAGGTAGTTTGTCCGGGCCGGGTACTGACAAATGCGAACGTAAACAGCAAACCAGACGGATTCCATTGGGATCCCTGTCGCAGTTGTTGTCGTAAAAATGAATAATATTTCTATTACTTTTGCATTGGGTACGGGGAACGCATAGCCTTGGTTCGCCACTGATGTTACAATATCCATCGTTTTCATCCGCATAAGACGACTCAATTAAACCTCAATTTATTTGTTATAGTTTGTAAAAAAAAAAATTAATTATTTAAATTTTTTAATTTAGTTTAAATACCTGTTGCCAAAATTATACTGAATAATAATTTAATTGAAAATATTTCTTTTAAATGCATTGCGGAATTTCTTAAGTTTGTCCACTGCATGCTAGAATAGCTTTGTCAACTAAAATATAATTAATCAGCGAAGGGAAAAAAATAGATTAGCATTAAAAATTTACATAACTGTTTGGTTATAAATAAAATCAAAGCTTTATAAATGCGATTTTTTGCTTCCCTTAAAAATTTGTGCTGATAAACCTAGACTTTCTGGTGCGCAGTGACGTAAAAACAGTCTCAGGGACTCTCTCTCGCAATTTTAATATCAATGACTTTGAATTCATTTATACAAAATTTGAAGATTTTCGAAACGTTCGTTCTAAGCGGAAGCGAATTAAAAAAATCTTGTGTTCTGCTTGAACATCCTTCTAATCAAGCCAAATAGTCTTCTGTATCCACGTTACGTACATTCGCAAACTTGATGGTATATATCAGGCATTTCAGGTGAGCGGCCAACACCTAATAATGTTATGCACGGTCCGCCATCATAATCCGTACTTATCTTCTTTACCTCAAAGGGTCGTCAAGAGTCCGCCTATAGGTGAAAAAAATTATTGTAAAAAGTGTTTTACTTGATTCATCATAAAGATTGATCTTTGTTGTAGATCATTATGAAAACTACGAGATAAGTGATCGGGTTGATAATCTTGTGCGCGTTTATTTGGAGAATAGATTTTGGTAACAGGTTTTAATAAAATTTTCGCGACAGCCTTAGCTAAAATAAATGGTCGCCAATAAGTAGATTCTTTAGGTTGTTTTATGTAAATTAAAAATGAGTGAATGATTAATAATGAACTAGATGGAGGCTTGTCTTATAAATGTCATATAAATTAATGTCACACACACACACGAACATCGGCATTTCGGCTACATTCTAGGGTGAAATGCAGAAAATCATAAGATTCTGTTATTCTTGGGCTTACCTGAAACACTACGCCAGCATAGTTAATGCACCATCGTTGGCTAATGGTCATAACTTACACTCGGCGTCCTAGCAACAGCAAGATCTACGCTTCTACCTAAAAGCTCTGCCGAAGGCTAACCTCCCACTATAAATTGACAAATACATTTACTTCTCTTTTTACACAGTAGACACGTTCAATAAAAATTCGTATAAAAAATTTCGTGTAAAAAAGTTCGTGTAATAAAAGATATATATTATTTGCTATTTTTTGTGTGTCATACGCTCGCCACATTTCTTTTTTTGTATTTTTTTTTATTTTTCTTATTTTGTACTCAACAATTTTAAGTCGCATTCAAATGTTCCCTATAAAACGGTCCGATTTGCACCAATTTCCTGAGATTACGCATAGAAATGAGTTAGCACTACGTAAGTGCTTCTATTATCCTTACCGTCATTTGAGAAACGTAGATTTGTTTTTGGGGTTTCCTTCTTAATCAAAGGGGCTGTTGACTCGCCCGCATTACTTGGTAAGATCAGCTTTAATATCCCCAATCGCTTCTCTAGGCACTTTATCTTGATTAAGCTTAGTCAATGTAAATACAATTATGAGCTGTTTAGCCCGCTCAGTGTTGTTTGCAGAAGCATAAATGTCGTCTATCACATATTCTCATCATCGGACCTTTTAAAGTTTATTAAAGCAACTTTGCTTAATACGCGCGATTTACGTACGTTGTACTTAAACTAACATTGCATTCTTAATAACTCATTTTTTTTTTTATTTCGATAATTCGATATTGTGTTTTCAACATATCAGTTGTCAAGCTGATGCATGTTTGGAATAGTTTAGGGGTTCACCCGCAATCTGGATCTACTCTTGTTGCGGGCGTGCTTCTGTGCTAGCTGTGTATATGCTTTTTTTTTCTCTTTTTATTTATTTATACATGGATTATTATTTTTAACTTTTCAATTTATTTTTAACTTACTTTGATTTTATTATTCTTCTTTTTCCATCTTCCTTTTTATTGTACAGTAATTTTTAAAACAATTAGTATACGATTTTGTCTACTGAATTCGACTGCAATTTACTTTAGTTGTATTTCATGTGTAAGTAGGTAAAATAAAAAAAATAAAAGTTTCGCTGCTAGCAATAGTTTGCCGAAACCCTTTGTTGGTAGCCATAGTCTTCTTCAAAACATTCCACACATATTCCAACACATACCACAAGTTTAAAGCAGTAAAACTGTCTACTGCTTTAAGCCAATCACAGCACTCTAGTAAACATCCGGCCAGATAATCTTCTCCATCCAGGGTATGTACTCGGAGACTCTGGTGTAAATACCAGGCATTCCCGATGCGCAACCAACACCAAATGAAGTGATACCTACAATATGAGGTACATTTAGATAGTATTTTTCTACAGTTCTTATCAGCGGTCCACCAGAATCGCCCTACAAGAGAAAGCAAAATGTTTTTACAAGTATACGTTCAAATAAGTTTCACTATCTCTACCATGCAGGTGTCTCGCAACTTTTCAGGATCCATGGCACAAATTAAATTTTTCACTATCCCCTTATTAAGGTTACGAGAAAGCTCATCCACAGGATTATCTAATTCACATTGGTTTTGAGGATAAATTTTAAGAGTTGCTTTCAATAAATCTTCCGACTGAGGACCAGCTGAAATGTTTAAATATTAGGGATTAACATAATTCTTTCCATCGCCACTTTCGCTAATTCGAAACAAACCAAATACTGTTTGTCCATAGCCTAAAGCAATTACGTCACTGTGATCTTCTATAAAATCGGAAGTCCATAAACATGCAGCCTTTTCGTCTCGAGGACTCATGTTATAAAAAACAAAGAGTATAAAAGTTATTGTAAAGCTTTTTATTAAAATATCGCTTACTCTAGCGGCGTTTTTAATTTAATTAATGCTATATCATTATAAGATGATGGATACTCATAACCGGGATGTATGATGTAATCAGCTATTGCTATATGTCGTATATTGGGGTTGGCAAGATATACACCGCCCACACGCACAAATGAAGGTAAACCACTAAATTGTTAAAATTGTTAAGATCAGCTAATTAGTCTCTCGTTGCGATACTCACTCTATATCAGACAAACAATGAGCGGCTGTTAAAACATATCTCGCTGAAATCAAGCTACCACCACACTTGTACTTGATGGTATCATTTTTATCGTTTAACTTCCAGCCTAGACCACACTTCATGCGCCATATCAGAGGCAAAAAAAAAAAAAAAAATTGGAGAAAATTCTTCCACATATAAATAATGTTGGGTTGCCCGGAAAATGATTAATTAAGTTTGTTTTTCAACAAAGCCAACTTCACACTTGAATCGCGTTACCATTATATATTCTTATAGCTTCTTACGAGAATTTCAGTTTTGAGTAATTCGAACTCGCCTACACCAAAACGCTTTCTATCAAATAGTCTGCCCTGACGTCCGTTCAGTTGGTGCTATGTGGCCCAGTTAGGGAAAATGATGTATCAAATTGTTGATATATATGAACACAGAGATAATACCATTAATAGGAATGTGCCTACGTTCCGTTCCATCTAGCAGGGTCCTATATGTTTTTTTTACTCAAGGGATGTCTCCTAAGTGTGGGGCAACGTGACGGCCGTAAAGAAGTAACTGTGAAGCAAACGCATTATATAGGGAAGTGGCTGCAGCTTAGTTGGTGTGTGTGCTTAATCGGTAAGTGTTAGACCTTTACTGAATGAACAGTCACTATAACTATAACCAAAATAAACTCCACTCTTACGTACTCGACTGCTATTCCAGACATTAGATGAACACTAAAGTTAGTGCAGATGTTTCGCGAAAATATTCATACCGATCCATGGTACATATTAGGCTCAATTATATTCACAACACTAACGCAAAAAATTTATAATTTGATCTTATTTTCCTCTTTCATCTCCAAATAGGTAAAGGCGCACTACTTTATTCCTGAAAGAAGGTGAGCCATCTATGGAGAGATTGCCATAAGAGAAAACATGTAATGAAAACAATTTGCCTGATTTTGCAATACTCTCCACTCTCGTCGGCCGAATCGAACAAAATCTCAATATTTTACAACAACAAGGTTAGTAATAGAAATGTTTGATGCTCTCTATGGGATGACATAGGTCAAGTTTTTGCCGGCTTTCACACATTTATCGTAAATTTAGCGTACGAAGATAAAATACTTATTATTACTAACCATAAATGGAAATTCTCGTAAAGCGACCCTTACACCGGAAGCTATTTCCTGCATAGGCAAATAATAACGTTCACACACTGTATTAAAAAGAAACGAGATAGTAAAGCGGATTTTTTTTTTTTTTTTTTTTTTTATCAACAAAACCGTGCCGTCTACGTACTTTCTTCGGCTAATGATGGTACAGGTTTAAGAATAGGTTTTATTACACGAGATTGTAAGCAACAAATCTGTGTGATATTATCAGCACCGGTTTTACACTCTTCATCCTTAAAATAGACAGCAGCTCGATTACGTTTACATAGAGTGTAAGGTACACATACACTTGGTTCGCTATTACTGTAGCAGAGTTGCATTCCATTCACGTAAGTTTGATTTGCACGGCACGAGTCAATAAAACCTTTAATTACATTTTTTTTCAACTTATGACTACAAATAGAACAAAGTAAATTGATATGAATTTCATATGTACCCGTCGCCCAGATAATAGTCATTAGGCATTTAATAGAAAACGTTCCGTTTAAAGACATTTCCTATATGAAAATATTTGTGAAGCAAACGAGAGCACTTAACGAATTCAACTAATTCATGAGTAATCAATGAAATGAATAAATTGATTAGGATTTAATTTTGAGATTAATTTGTTTATTAAATAATATTTAAAGCTTTATATTATGATTGGGTGTAGATTTCTATATAAGCTTTACAAGCGATTATCTCCTTTAAGTTTATATGCATTTATGCAGCAATATACCTAAATATTTAATTATCATAAATTTTTTATCAATGCTTTATTCGACTAAGCAAATAATAGTACGCAGCAACGAAATCAAAGTTAAAAGAATTTGCTTATCATAGACAACATTAAATTGCCGGACCTTCAATTAAACATCTCCCTAATTGACCTGATAAGGGTTCAAGGGATTTAACGGCATCAAATGTATGCCTAACTCAACTGATAACAATTTCCATTGTAATCACAACGCGTTACCGCAGAATTTGTAAAAAAAAATTTTAATCGGCTATGACCAAGTGCTATGTCTAACCGCGAGTTCTCAAGATCTATCCCAAAAAAAGAAAAAGGGAAACATACAATAGTGAGCTCCGAGCCCCGGACACGATTAATATGATGACTCTTCAAAATAAAGCATAACATGACAAGGGGTGGCAAATGTGATCCAATCCGAATCCTTTTCAATAGCTTTTGGGCTTGGGCTAAAACACACACACACACACATACACACCCACACACGCTCAAAAATTGCGCTCTGTAGGTTGAGGGGCAAGAATACAAGATAGGTTTAGAATCACTTGATAATAAGAAAAGAGTGCTGGATACGGTACACATCCGCAGAGAATACGAGACGGACAGGCAGATAGACCAGCCTAGAACGACTTACATTCACCTTATAACAAAAGATGGGTCCATCTCAAATCCTTCTAGATATTGTATACATTCGCAAAAGCTTAACATAATCTTGTACAGCAAATGGTGTAAAATATCAAAATTGACCTGAATCGATTTGTATAATAAAAGCTGGTACTAGATGAATATTGTAAAAGTCCAACCTAATTTAATATATCTGTTACATTGGGTGTAGGGTGGCCCTATTTATTAAGCGAATTTTCATCGTTATTTCCTTGTCCGTCAAACGATTCAGAATCTTCATAACTTAGTTCTATTCATGGATTATTTTGCGAATCTTACTATTGGGACTGCTTGCAGCGATATCTTCTCTTATGTGCTACCGAAAAGACAAATATATACACAAACATGAAATAAGCGATAGTCAATATTTACCTATCTACGTTATAACTCAAGCGTAAAATGTTGACACTCCTACAGACTAATGTAAACAATCTATGAAAACCAAATGCTCTTTCAGGCAATTAATGAAACCTTATACATGTGTTGGTACATTTGTGCATAAATAGATTTTTAAAGCTTTCTCAGCACTTACAACTCATTGCCTTTTTCCACCTAATACTTATTTCAAACTTTTCATGTAAGGAATTCAAATTTAATTGAATTTTTTTATGGATTATATTAACAAGAGAGGTACACGCACACGCATTCAAATTAGCCTAAACCGGAATTCTGGAAAACTCACCGAAAGCGTTATCGAAAAACGAGTTTTATTTTTTTTTTTGTCAACTGCATTCTAGTTGAGTACCGGCGAACTTAAAGATCAATTAAAAAAAAAAAAAAGGAAAACTTGCAATACCAAGCTCTCAAGGGCGGTAATCGTCATTTCGTCTGGCATTCAAGTGAAGGAAAAACGTAGAGACATAGTGAAAATTCCGATGCATACTTGTATACCTTACCCGGCAGTTATACAATTCTAATGCACTTTTTGTGTTGGATATAAAAGTCAAGAAAAATTATAACACAAAACTTCTTCAAGCTATTTATTAAAAGATCATTATTATATACTTCAAGGAAAAATTTCAATTAATTTTCGAAATGTTGTCTTAATTTTCTGCACGCACTCTTGAAAGTATTCGCTTATATATATATGTATATATATATATATGGTCAAGTCAGGCAAGCAAGCAAGCAAGTAAGCAAGCAATTCCTTTTTACGCTCTTGCTATTATTGTTTTGTTAAGAAAGAATTTCCTTTGATGATTGAAACGATGCTGAAGAGAAAAAAAAAAGAGAAAAATATACTAAAAATGATGTTTCCTTATATGAGAATATAAACACAGTATAATTGCGTGTGTTGCGAAAAAACTATTTTATTATTGGTTCTTAACTGCGTAAGGGAATATAATGAGAAGCAATTGAAACAATTTAAAAATAATTGATTCGCAAAATTTAACTCTGTTTCGATTGCAATCAATGCCTTTGAGAATTTCAAAGAAATTTTTTTCACAATCTTTTCGTTTGACGTGAACGTGGAAGAATTGTAGAATAAGACGAAATGTAGTACAATACACTCAAACCTGTTTTGATACGGTGAATATGGAACGTATAAAAGAAAACGCATAAAAAAAATCGCAGAAAACTTCACGAGTAGCTATAAAAAAACAGTTGTCGCAACACAATTAAAAAGTATTTCTTTTATGCGTTACATATTCACCGCATAAAAAAAGTCTTGCATAGAAAATAACTCAAAACCTTACAAAATAGCTACGAATTGCTTTTCTAAACGACATCAAGACACGAGGTTTGTCAGCTACTTCGAATATATTGTTTACATATGTACTAATTTTGCACATGAAAAGCTTTTCAGAACGCATAAGCATTACTCTCTATGGTCTGTCACGAACTGGAACTGGAGCTTTCTTGCGGTAAACTGGTTCAAAATTGCTTTCGCATTCGTTTAGAGTTGACTTTTTTCAGTTGCCGTGTAGTCGTTGATTAGTTTTAGTGGCGACTGTTGCTTCACTAGACGCTTGCTAGTACATGTCCCAGTAGCCAGATATACAAGTTTCAAGCTCCTTTTGGAATTTCTAGGTGTTTTCAGAATTGGTATTGATTGCATGAAAATGACTTTCTATTTGATGGCAAAGTTAAAGTCCTGCACAGATTTTATCTTCTGTCAGATAATCGGGTTTTTCTTGCCCATCGGTAACATCTGTCACGTAATTTAGAATGTCATCATTATTCTTATGAATCATTGAATTATGTGATTGAAATTTTCATATACCGCACAATAAAAAATCGCACAAAAAAAGACCGCACAAAAATTAGTTTGGGTGTATAATATACAGGGAAGAAGAATGAAGTCAGTTACTAAGAAATACTTCCTGCAGAATTCCATCTAATCAAACCTATTTTGCTGGACTAGAATACATGCTCCGTATTGATATAACTGTATCAGCGCCGCACCCATTTCTTTTATGCTCTTACATTACAACTTAAACATAAAACGACTACAGTTGGTTTCTCTGTTTACGTAAGGTAGTATGCCTTGTTGTGATTTAAGAAAATCCGAAATCGATTCCTTAGTAATATGTTCTTATGACCGGTCTACCTTCCAAGTTTGTAGTAGAGAATGTAACGGTATTATCTGCCAGCCAAGTAACTTCTATGACCTGATAAAAAACTACAAGAGAATTGTCTTTACTTCGAAAGAAAATTGGTCGCACCCACAAGAAATTTAACAGCTTTTCCTAACTCCTTAAAGATTGCTTTGCGCTCTTTCAAGGTCCTTTTTCTTCACTAAACGCAGTAATGGAAAGAATGTGGCCGTAGCCCAATTGGTAAGCCCTCCGCCTTCCGCCTTCGCCGACAGCACTATTGATCTTAAAGTGTTGACATTTGCAGGCGTTACTAGTCCACTACCATAATATACTTCGTCCTCTGCGATTCGTTTTTCTGCTTTAATCTCTCATTAAAGTGAATCATTATATAAATCATGCTTTATTGGATATTGCGAGACAAATAAAAATAATAAATTAAAATGTAATACATAAATTTTCGAAAAACTGTCACGATAACTAGAGGGTTAATGTTGATGTCCACCAACGCAGGCAAGAGATTAACATAATTATATACAAAATAAGTGAAAAATTTCACACATATCTTTAAAATCCTATATATATATTTATATATATGTATATATATATATATACATATGGATGTTATTGACGTACAGATGGAGAGAGAGAAAGAGAGAGAGAGAGAGAGACATAAATTGAAATTTAAACTTTTTTGTACATAAATAAAAATCAATTCGAAAATATTTTTAATTAAGAAGAAATGCATATACAATATATTATTCTTGCTTCCGTTACCCGTTACTCTGCGTTCATTGCTCTATTACATATATATATATATATACATTTTACATATTGATGGAAATATGACTGTTGCCTGCGTATCAACGAAATTACAATCATCATCAGAGATACGCTCGCAGACCTACATGTATTTCATATATCGCGTGCATGTCAAATATGTTGATTCTATGTTGTATATATACATATATATATATATATATATAGTCGAATGGTATTTTAAATGAAATAAAATTTAAAAGTTTGCTTTTGACTTTTCATTTTGAACAGATTGTATCGCTTCGACCCTGTGTACCGTTAACTATTTTATATGTGTATCTTCGCTATTATTGTAAAACAATCTCATTGCGTGCAGGCTTCTGGATATTAGGGTGTCATGAAAGTCAAGGATGCGTGTCTGTTGAAATAGTGAGCCAAAGGGCGTTTTATTCTTCTCGTCATTGAGCAAAGAAGTGATTAAATAATGCCAAGAAGGGGTTCTCTTTATTTTTGTTTTTATCTGTCTGTTCAGGCAAAGGTACGAGTCAAGCAAGCAAGCTAGGCAAACTTTGCACTTAAAAAATCCTTGAGGAAACTGTTCTATAGCAACATCTGCGCCGACTACTGATAGTAAACATTTACTGTATATGAGATCGTTCTACAACGGAATTTATTCTGGAGAGCATCTACTTTACAAGCGCACGACGATTCTTCTTTGATCGTGCTTTTCCAACTTCGGTGTTTAAAAGCCGGCGACCATGCGCGATAGATAGAAAGGCTTTCGTAATTTGTAACTAAAAAAAGTGCTAAGATTTGTTAAGATTTCGTGAGCCTTGGATGT